GCGCACATGACATTCTCGTACCTTTTCAGATATGACAGAGTGCGGTTCAACGAAAAGTTCCTGGGCCCAGACGGATCAGAAGAGACCTTGCACGCGTTCTGGAGTGAGGTAGTTCGCCGACGGGACCCGCGGATACAGAATCACCCTATGTGCCTCAAGCCAGGTTGGACTAGAAGGTGCGTCCCGCTCGCCATTCACGGCGACGCCGTGCCAGTGGTTCGGGTGGGGGAGCCTGGGTCGGAGAGCTTGGAATGCATATCTATTCAATCTCTTCTAGCTAAGGGACCGACGTTGAAGGTCAAGTGTTTGTTGTGCTCGATGTTCGAGAACAACAAGGTTGCCAGCATCCCAGGCGTCCAAGACACGACAGAGACAATGTGGCAACACATCTGCTGGTCTTTGAAGGCGTTGTATGATGGGCGGTTTCCTGCAACAGATTGGAAGGATGCCCCGCGGGGCCCGCTCTCCAGCGAAGCAACCATTGCAGGGCAACACTTGTGTTTGAGGAGGAGGCGTTTTTCGGAGTGATCTGGTCCATAAAGGGAGATTTGGAATGGTACTTCAAGGGGTTAGGCCTCGAGAATTACAATCGGACTGACCCGTGCGAGTTCTGCCCGTGCGACAGAGCGCTGCCGAAAGCGATGTGGCCGACAAATTTCTCCCCCGCGGCAGCTTGGAAGGCGAGATTGCACACGGCGGCAGAATGGAGAGCTGGCAAGCCATCGCTTCACGCATTGTTCGCAGTGTTTCCATTTGTGCGACGAGTTACACATCCTGCACCTTGGAGTTTTACAGTATTATCTTGGCAGCATTCTGTGGTTGCTGACATATGATTGCCTCGGCGGAACACCGACCGAGAATTTCGAGCTGGTGTGGAAAGTGATACTAGATGAGTACAGAGGTTCTCCGAGCGGCACAGAGTTCACAAAAATGAGAATAACATCTTTCATCGACCCTAGCAAATGGAACGAAGCCTACCCAAGGTTAAAAGGGAAGGGCTGTGAGGTGAAGTCTCTTATTGTGCCTCTCCATATCATTTGGGGAAAGCTGAAAAAAGCAGGCCACTTTTACGATCAGGTTGCCAACTCGCTCGATGCAATGACTAAAATACAGTTCATTATAGATGATTACAGCAATGACGCGTTCATTCCAGATAATGAAGCGGCCTCCTGCTTGTCTGAGACTGATAAGTTCTGTCGGGTGTATTGTTGGCTCACGAACGCGAGCAAGGCTCGCGACCAGATGTTGTTCACTCCAGCGCCAAAACTACATTGGATGTGGCACATGAGCTACAGAGCAAAGTACTTGAGCGTCCGCAGGGGCGCAACGTTCATTGATGAGGATTTCGTTAAGCACATGAAAAAAATCGGTGGCAAATCAGTGGCAGGCACAACCATGCACATGGTGCCGAATGTGGTTGTCGAGAAGTATCGGTGGGGCATCAGCCTCGAGTGATAGCGCGTGCCCAGCACTTGGTTGGGCACGAGAAAACAACAGACATCATCGTCACCATCATAATCATCGTCATCAGCATCATCATCATCATCATTATAATCATCATCATATTAATAAGAATCATCATCATCATCGTCACCACCATCATCATCGCCACCATCATGCCCCCCCCTCCGTGGCCCTGTCGATCGACGAGGGCGCCGCGGCAGGACAGCCGCCGCCCGCGCGACCCAGACGGGGCGGGGGGATGAGGAGGAGGTGGAAGAGAGGCAAGGGCGGCGGATAATACGAGCGCAAGGGGACGTGGGACGGGAGGGGGTGGATGACACGGATGAGGAAGGGGGGCGGAGGAAGGGCGACGGAGGAGGACCAGCGTGAGCGTTTTCGATCAAGACCCTGAACAGCTTGTTGTCGGCCGTGGTCCTGGGGCCGCCTGGGCCTTCGGGGGCCGAGCCTCCGTCCTGGCTGCGTTTGGGGGTCTTCTGTTTGCTTTATTTTCAATGGTTTTAGGTTTTTTGTTTATTTTTTTTTTGTTGTTGACGCCCTCTGGGGGGCGTCCAGTGTGGAAAACACACACGACAATAAATAATGATGTGATCAATTTTCTGTTGAACTGATTTTCCGATTCTGGTTTGCTGTCTCTTCGTCCTGAGTCCCCCCTTCTCTCACTATTCGCACGGCTCGCGCCGACTCCGCCAGCCGATGTCCCCGCGCGGTTCGCGTCCGCGGCACTGGGCGCTCATGGGGGCCCACATTGGGAGGGGGGGGGGCCTTGAGGCCCAAAGACGACTCCACGCGGGCATCCACAATAAAAAACGAGATGGCTTGTGGTATGCATTCGTGGGTTTTGGTTGGGCTCGGCTGGGGCAGTCCTGGGGCTTTCCTGAGCCGTCGCGTTCTTTCCTGAGGGCCTCTTGGGCCGTACCCTGCGGGCCCCTTGGTTGTTCCCCAGGGACATGCCCGAAATTTCCTGGTCTCGATTCAGGCGTCAGCGATGCCTGCCCTCTGCTAGGCGGCCAGAGACAGCTCATGGGGGGCTCCGCAATGCCCCAAGATTGCCCCGAGAGAGCAACGAGAGGGGCCCAAGGAGGAGGAGGAGGAGTAGGAGGAGGAGAGGAGGAGGATTACTGAATTTATGGATCGCCAAACACTGCAGCCTTCAATCGGGAAGCTGCCTTGAAGGAGAGCGTTCGGCAACCGCGGAAAACGACGGATAAGTTACGTTTAAGAAGCTATGGTAAGTTCAAATTAAGTTAAGTGATTTTCTCCCCCCCACAACGAATGTAGATACGTTCAAACTAAGATACGTGCAACAGAACAGATATTTCTGATTACACTCATCCATGTATCGAAAATTGCGCGGTGTTTCCAACAGCTGGTGGGCCTCGTATTGGATCGTCGCACGTTTCTTGCCTTAGGCCGAAATTTAGCATGTACTTAAAATGCCCTGCCCTGTTGCACTTAACTTAGTTTGAACTTACATACCTTAGTTTTGCTGGCGGGTTCACCTTAGTTTCTTAGAACTTAACATAGTTTCTTACACTTAACTTATCCTTTGTTTTCTGTGGGTGCCGGATGCTCAGGGTGGGCGGTGCCGGCAAAGCCCCGGTACGTCTGTTGGGGCCAGCATCCAGGGCGCCGGAGGTGGGCAGAGAACAAATTGCTCTCTGCGGCCCCTGTGGCAGCTACGCCGTGGCTGTTGTTGCGGGACCAGGTGACCTGGGAGTGATCTCTGGCAAACAAAATGTGGTGCTTCTCAGCCTGCATTCATGTGACACGCAATGCCGTGGCCTGCACTCGCGTAGTGCTTCTCAGCCTGCACTCGCGCGGTGCTTCTCAGCCTGCGCCTCCTCGGTGCTTGCCAGCCGCCGGATTGGCGCGATTTCCTGCAATACAAGCGGGAGGGGTGAAGTATCCGAGCCCGCGTGTCCACGGTGCTTCTCTGCGTGCGTACTTGTAATCCTAGTTCCACCAGCAGTAGGACTGCGCGGCCGCGGTGCTTCTCAGCCTCCGAGTTTCTGCGGTGCTTCTCAGCCTGCAAGTTTTGCCGACTGTCCGCTTCACACGCCGCTCCTCAGTGCGCTCCTGTTCCGTTTGCGAGATGTCTTCCAAGATTTGGCTGGAGGCCGAGAAAGACGGACAGAACAAATCCAAGTAGCGCGGTCATCATCCCATCATCCTCCTCAATCATCACATCATCATCATCAATGGCTTCGCCGAGCACCCCGGTGGAGACTCAGGTCTTACGGGTCCGTGCCCTACTACTACTACTACTACTACTACTACTACTACTACTACTACTACTACTACTACTACTACTACTACTACTACTACTACTACTACTACTACTGCTACTGCTACTACTGCTACTGCTACTGCTACTACTACTACTACTACTACTACTACTACTACTACTACTACTACTACTACTACTACTACTACTACTACTACTACTACTACTACTACTACTACTACTACTACTACTACTACTACTACTACTACTACTACTACCTACTACTACTACTACTACTACTACTACTACTACTACTACTACTACTACTACTACTACTACTACTACTACGACATCACACTAAATCCATTCATGGGAGTGCCTGTTTTGGAGCTACACTCATTGATGCAAGTGTGTCGTTTGAGGCTCAACCCGTTGATAGCAGTGTCTCGTTTGGAATCACATCCGTTGATAGCAGTGTCTTGTTTAGACCTCAATGCATTTATACAAAGATCTCATTTGGAGATACCGTTATCGAAAGCAGTGTTTCTACTGCTACTACCACTGCTCCCATCACTCCTACTCGTTCACTCCACACACTACAACTACTACTTCACTGTTACCACTACTACCATCACTACTACTTCTACTGCTACTACTACTGTTACTATTACTGCTGCTGCTGCTGCTGTTGCTGCTGCTAGTGTAGCTATTGCTACTGCAACTACTGGCAGTGCCACTGCGACTGCCGCTGATGTTGCCACTGCGACTGCCACTGCGAATCCGAATGCGACTGCGAGAACACCAGAATTCTACAACAGCACACTTACATGAATACCACAGGCAATGTTTCCAGCTATGCTTCTACACATCGCTGTTAGGTTGCTTTGCCTGGATAATTCTACGCTCCCCGACTATCCCCCCCCACCACACACTGGAAGTGGAGGTCCAATCGGGGCCCTCGGGTCGGGTTGCGGTGGGCCCGGTGGGCGGTGCCCGACGGCCCCGCGGGGCCCGGGGAGGGCCCCCCACTGAGGTCGAGCGTGGCGCAGACAAGCCGCCCGTCGCCACTGTTCCGTTGCCTGCCTCGAGAGGGGGGTCTGAGGAGGAGGAGGAGGAGGAGGAGGAGGAGGCGGAGGAGCAGGAGGAGCAGGAGGAGGAGGAGGAGGAGGAGGAGGAGCAGGAGGAGGAGAAGGAGGAGGAGGAGGAGGAGGAGGAGGGAGAGGAGGAGGAGGAGGCGCGGACAGCTTGCGCGCCACTGCCCGCGCAGCCGAGCCCGTTGCTGCGCTGCGCCGCCCGCTTGGCGCCCGCCCGCCTCGGGGAGGAGCCGCTGCTCGGCCTCGGCGTCGTCGGGGGCGCCCGGCGGCTGCGCCCCTTCCGGGCTGTCGGCTCCCGCGGCGTCGGCGCTGCTCGGGGGCGCCGGCTGCCCCGTCGAGGCCCACCAGGCGCTCAGACCTGCGATTCGGGACTCGAGCAAGAGGAGGAGGAGGAGGAGGAGGAGGAGGAGGAGGAGTGCCTGGCGTCTCGCGGCGGCGGCCCCCGCGACACGCTGCTGCGAGGCCACGGACCGTGCAAAACCTCTGGGGCCAAGGGGTATAATGAGTGCCTGGGCGACCCAAGATCGCTGGAGCCACGCCTCTCGACAGCGCGCAAATCACAGCCGGCGGGCGGGCCGGGGAAGGCCCGGGACACTGACGCCGCTCGGGGGCCGGGACGTGGTCGGCGTGTCGCACCGAGGCGTGGTGGGCAATCACCAGCGGCGCGACCCGCGGATCAAGAGTTCCTGACCGTAGCCAGCGTCGAGCTCATCCATACCCGTAAGCTTGGCAAGCCCACTGCGATGAGACACATGTTCAAGGGTGCGCCCTCAGAAGCTGGGCTTGCGATCGGGGCCGAGATGTGGTGCTGCCAATCTGGGGATACAGGCGCATGCTTCAGGCTGGTGAGGACCTGGCGGCTCGGGGACTGACGCCCAGCTCGTGGTGGTCACCTTGGCTAGACGCAATGAGTGGCCATAGGCAAGAGTGACCTTTGGTGCGCTTTTTTTCGGGGGGGGGGGGGGAGGGGCGGGAAGCCAAACCACGCGCGCAAGCCGCTGCTGTCGCATCTGGATCAGAGACTGGGGAGCCCCAGTGGGCCCGAACCAAACCCAGACCCCCGACGTCATGATTGATCCATGACGTTGACCCCCAAAGGTCTCGAACCAGCCCTCATGACCGGCTCTTCATGCTGACTCGTTTTGCAGACGGCCCCGAGGCCTGGCACAGGGGCCCCCAAATGGAGGAAACACCCGTCGTGATCTGTGGCCATGGCCCCATGGGGTCTGGGAAGGTCACTCTGGCGAGGGATCACTCTTATACGTGCACGGGACCCAAAGATCCGATGTCGTGATTTGTTCTTTACGGGTTTCCCGGAATTCTCGACCCGTTCCCCAGGACCGGTTTTCCATCCTGCGTCGTGTTCTGCCAGCCCCTGGGGCCTGGCGAGGGCCCCTGGAGGCCGAAAACTGAAAAGCACCTCCGTCTCGTTTTCTTCAGTGCGTTGGATCTCTGGGGAGCACCGCGGGGAACGCCTCCGCGCAGAAGAAGCCCCCGGCGGCCCCGAGCGGCTGCGACGTCGACGTCCAGCCCGGCCCGGCCAAGCTCGAGGCGACCTCGGCCGGGGGCCACGCGGCCGCCGCGCCGCCCCCCGCCGGGGAGGCCCCGGCCTCGTGGGGCGCGGCCTCGTGGCCCGCGCCCCTGCCCTGGGAGCTGGTCGGCGTGCCCGCGTCGGGCTCCTGCGCGGCCCACGGCTGCTGCGCCGAGTCCGGCGGCCGCCTCGAGGGCGCCTGCCTCCGCGCCTGCGGAGAGGACCGCGGCGGTGCCAGAGCCCCTCGAGTCATAGGTGTTTTGTTTGTATAACAAAAACGACGGGCGGTGTCTCGCCGTTTTCGGCCTCCAGGGGCCCTCACCGGGCCTCGGGGCCGTCAAAAAACGACCCGGGATGAGACACCGGTCATGGGGAAGGGGTCCAGGCCGCTGGGGGTCGACGTCATGAAAAAGTCAGAACGTCGGGGGTCTGGGGCTGCTGAGGGGAGAAAAGGGGGGCTTGGAAGTGGATGCCAGGGTGGGCTTTACCTGGCCTGAGCTAACTCAGGAGTGGGTCACAGGTGCCCTATGATAGTTGAGCGGCTCAGGGGGATCAGATCTCTCCGCAGAGCGGTCGGAGCCCGCTGAGCCCGGATCGCTGACCCGCCCGAGCCTCTCAGGGCACCTGCAGCCCACTTGTAGGCCAGGTCAGGCCAGACGCAACCCACCTTCCTGGACCCCCGACGCCACGCTCTGTTCCTAACGCCGACCCCCAAAGGTCTGGAGACCCACTCCCCGGGAGCGGCGCCTCATGCCCCCGGGTCGATCTCGGACGGTGCCGTGGCCCGGCGAGGGTCCCCAGATGCAGCGAATGCATGGCGAAACACGTCCCGTCGTGGTTTTGCTCCTGCCTCGAGGGGGTCTGGGATAGCACCCACTTCTGAGCCCCTTCATCCCCTTTTCGACGCCAGACATGGGTACTGAACCAAAGGGCACAATGCCCAACAACACATGCTGTCCCAAACCGACAGCGGCCGCTGTTGGGCAGGCGGCTCTTTGTCTTCAGAATTACGTCCGCGGCGGCGCGAACAGCGAGTCCTGCTCAAAATGCGCTGGAACGGCTGCTGGGCATCGCGCCCATACTTTCTGCACCCCTTCTTTCCGTACACATCCAGCCGCTCCAGCTCTCTCGATGCGCGGGCCCCGGAGGTCAGGACCACTTCTCTAGGGCCAGTTCGTCGTCCCGAATCGTTGTTCGACGGTCGATCGATCCCGAGACCCGGCGAGGGCCCCTGGAGGCCAAGAAGAAACCCAACTCTCACCGCTCCAGCTTGCTCGGGGCGTCCGATCCCTGGACCTGCCCCGAGATAAAACAAAATGCAACGTCGCACAACATCACGACCGGACGCCCGGTCCCTGTCTCTCTGCGTCGTTTCGGGAGCCGCATCGCTCTGCGAGTGTCCCGGGGCCCGAGGTCGCGCGGAAGCGCCCGGCTCGAAAAAAAAAATGGCGTCGCCGGACCTCCGGAAGAGCCCCCCTCGGCCCCACGCAGAACTCCGACGCCATGATGTTTGCTTGTCCATGACGTCGACCCGCAGAGGTCTCGACCCCTTCCCCAGGACCAGTGCCTCATCCCGCGTCGTTCTCTGACGGCCCCGAGGCCCGGGGCAGGGGCCCCCCATAGGACGCCGAACAAATATGTCAACAAAAACCTTCCTTGTGTTTTTGTTCCTGGCTCGAGCCCAGCCATGCGACGACCTGCCTTGTTCAAGACGGCGCCCCCAGAAGCTCAGACCCTTTCCCCGGGGCCGGCTTTCTCCTCCTGAATCGTTTTCTGACGGCCCCGAGGCCTGGCGAGGGCCCCCCGCGAGGCCGCAATTGGCCAAAAAACCTCCCGCCCGGATTTGTTTTACGACGCGACCATTGAGCAGTGACCGACGGTCCCGGCCTTTCTGTAGTCCTACCACGCCATGTTCTTAGAACTCACAAATGTTCCAATAACAAAAACAATGCTCTTAGAACATTAACCCGATGTGTTAAAACAAGACCAGCCTCAACCAGAAAGGCTCTAAGAATACTTCGTGCAAACAACGACAGGTTCTTAGAACATTCTTTAGTAGGCCTGTAGGCGAGCCAGGACGCTTCGCCACTGCTTTAGATCATGTCTCCCCAGAAGGTCGGCGGACAATTTTTATGGGTCCGCCCAAAAGTCGGACCCATGTAATGAGACCGGGACCCATTTTCTGTTTCATGTTAATACGGGGGGCCCATAAATGGGCCTGGGCAGACTCCAAGGCGGACCCAGAAATGGTCTGGAACACAAAATACAGTGTTCAAGAATGGGCACGGGCCCATACTTCATTTTTATTGTAACTCCTTTGGGAGGGCGCAGGCTGCCACAGAAAATAAGTTCGGCCGAACCCATGTTCTGTGGTACTACTACTACTACTACTACTACTACTACTACTACTACTACTCCTATAATGCTGTTGCTACTGCTACTGCTGTTGCTACTGCTAGTGCTACTGCTACTGCTACTGCTACTACTACTACTACTACTACTACTACTACTACTACTACTACTACTACCATAAAATGGGTCCGCTGACCCTCTGGGTCCCGCGGTCGTGTCCCGGTGCGGCCTCCCCGGCGGGCCGGCCGCCGCCCTGCGGCGCCTCGCCCTGCGCCCGGCGCGCCGCGCGCGGCCGGCCCGCGGAGCCGCTCCGCGCCCGCTCGCGCCGCTGCTCCTCGGCGGCCGCGGCCTGTGGGCGGCGCGCGCCAGGGGGCCCACAAGGTGAAGGTTTTTTTGTTTGTGAACAAAGTGTGTGCGTGTATATATATATATATATATATATATATATATATAATTTTACATACATGTGTATATATATATATATATCTTGAAAACCATAGTTTATTAGAACAAAGACAAAGAAAGAAGAAAACAGACATAGCAGAAGAAAGGGCGTTTCGACATTGGGCGGGAGGGGGGAGGGAGGGGGAGGGGGGGGGGTCCGGCTCCAGGCCTCTGCCGAGTGGGACTGGCAGCAGTGCGTCCGCTATGGGGGAGACTCCCCCCGCTCGAAACAGGCGCCAAGAAATAGCCAAGATCTACTCCATGGGGGGAGGGGGGTGGGTGCGAGGGCCCGCGCCGATCGGCAAAACAATGATAAAACGATCACAAGGCTCACATGATTTATGATGTTCCAACCTACATGTGCCTTGACCACCAGAAAGAATCTCGAGGACCAAGAAAGCACCGAAACTGCAGGGTGTTCGCGTGTCGGGCCCTGGGAGGCGGTGCTCGTTCGACACCGCTTCGATACCTTTCTGGGTGCTCGAGATTATTCCTGGGGATGTGGCCCTGCAGCGCGATGGGAACAACATGACCCATGATGTGCTACCGAAGGGGTGGGCTACCCAGGCCCCCTCCCATATAGTCATGAAAAATCATGACGGGCGGCGTGTCCTTATTGTCTTCGGCCTCCGGGGGCCCCTTGACGGGCCTCGGGACCGTCAAGCAACGACTCGGGATGAAACACTGGTCATGGGGAATGGGTCCAGACCTCTGGGGGCCGACGCCATGAAAAAAATCGTGACGTCGGGGGTCTGGGTTTGCAGGAGCCCATGAGCCCGTGTCCCGCAGGGGTGCCAGCAGGGCGTGCCCAGCCCACCTCCTCCTCCTCCTCCTCCTCCTCCTCCTCCTCCCTCCTCCTCCTCCTCCTCCTCCTCCTCCTCCTCCTCCTCCTCCTCCTCCTCCTGAGCAGTGGCGGGAGCAGGTCCTGGACTCCAGGGTTCCCCCTGGGACCAGATCTCCCTCCTGAGCCGCTTCTGGACGGCCCCTTGGCCCATGGCAGGGAGGGCCCCAGGAGCCCAGGCTGGCGACGCGCACAGGGGGGTGTGGGGGAGGGGGGGGGGCAGGCTGCTGCTCAGTAGGCGCCGGCCCTACATCCCCAGACCCCCGGCGCCATGATTTTTCATCTCGTCGACACCTCGATGTCTGGACCCATTCCCAGAGGCCGGTCTTTCATCCTGAGTCCTTTTTTATGACGGTCCCGAGGCCCGGTAGGGGCCCCCAGGGGCTGAAAACAGCGAGAAACCTCCCGTCGTGACTCTTTCCGGACTCGGGGGGGTCTGGGTCTACAGAGAAGGCCCGCGCCTGCCACGAAGCAGGGGTGCTTCTAAGACGCCGTCCCCCCTCCCCTCCAAGCACCCCCCCCCCTCGACGCGGGGCCGGGCCTGCCGCAGCTCGTCCGCGAGAGGCTCGCCCTCCGCGACGGAGGCCGGCAGGCGCTCCAGCGAGGCGGAGACGAGCGACACGTCGGCGTCCTTCTTTGAAGGGGCCCTGGGACACACGAATCAATACACACAAATAACAGGATTCCCCATATGTTCCAATATTTCCTGGGTTTTGTCTTCCCCCCCACTTCACATATTTTCCAACAGTTTCCTGGGAGTCGACGATTAATTGTGTCTGTGTGTTTTTCCCTCCTGATCTTGGCGGCGCGCACAAACCTGGGATCCGACGTTGCCAAACAATTGCAACGCAACAGAAATCACGACCCGACCCCCAGACCCTACATTTCTGCGTCATTTTTCGAGCCAGGTCGATCTGTGAGGGTCCCGGGGCCCGAAGTGAAACGAAGACGCGCTGCTCGAAGAAGTTGAGTCGCCAGGATCTCAGGGAAGGGGGTAGGGGGAGGGGGGAAGCCTTCTGAGAATGAGCCTGCTTCTTAGAAGGCGCCGGCCTCACATCTGTAGAGAAGGCCCGCACCTTCTAAGAAGCAGGGGTGCTTCTAAGAAGCCTTCCCCTCTCCCCTTACCCCGTCCCGACCTTCCCAAACCCCGACCTCCGAGGACGTGATGTTGTGTTCCATCCGGCGGTGCTTTTCCGCGATTTCGCCCTCATGTGGGGCCCGCTGTCGGGCCCGGGGGCCATCCCAACTGGATCCGGGACGAAGGACCACCCTCGGGGAACTTCCCCGAGGGTGGTTTTCGTGCCCTGCCCCTTCCCCGAGGGTGGTTTTCGTGTCCAGTCCCTTCAAGGGGCCGGGGCCTTTGGGGCCGTAGAAAATCACATCGGCGGATGTCTGGGACTGAGCGACGGCAAGAAGCGGGTCTTGCGCAGGAAGGCACAGCGACCGTACGCGGCGGCTGACGCGGGCCGCCAGCGCGGCACGCCACACTGGAGACGAGGGCGCTTACTCGCGACCTTACGCGGCCAGCTCACGCGCGAATGTCGGCGCTGACGACCCCGTTGCGTGGCTCAAATGGGGTCCGAGCAGATGAGGTCGAAGGATCGCGCCGCATCGCCGATGCATCGGCGACGCCGTCGTGGAGAAAATCTGGTTCCACGTCGAGCCGCATCGCCGATGCATCGGCGATGCCGAGCGATCTTTCGACCCCATCTGCTCGGACCCCATTTGTCGGCTATACGTACGGGTGACCCTGGGTGAGAGTGACCTTTGGTGCGCGGCTTTTGGGGGGGGGGGGCGGCGCGGGGGGGCAGACACAGGCGAGCAAGACGCTACTAGCGCATCGCCTTCGGCGATCGAGGGGCCACATTGGGCCCACACCAAAGGTCACTCCGCGAGCCCACTTCTAATGGTGCTCGTTTCTACTTGTTCCTGGCCCCCTAGTGGCCAGGTAGAGGCCCAGGACAGAACAATTAGAAATGAAAGGACCCCCAAAAAATCAAAGAACTCTCGAAGAATTAGGAATGAACAATGTGTACGTCTAGGCGAGCTTGGGAGGCCCTCGAGTCCGGCAGGTCCGCCAGGTGGCCCGCGATGCGGGCGCACACGGGCCCTAGCGCGCTGGGGTGCTCCGCGTTGCCGTCCTGTAGGGAACCGAGCTCTATACACCGACTCGTGCTCTGGGCCTGCCCTGAACCTTGCAAACAATGAAGCGGATCCTGGTGCATACGGGGTCCTGGTGTATGCATGCTTCGCTGTTTCCCTAAAAGAACGGGGAAACGAGTACACACCACACCACCCCGACGTCGTCTTCGACCCTCAAAAAAACCCGGGATTGAAACACAGCCCTTCACTGGTGATGCATAGGTTCCAATATCCGATCCTGGGCCAGCAGGGCCACGCCGGGCAGGAGGTGCGCGAGCGCGGAGGACTCGAAGTGGTGCAGCCTGCGAAGGCTCTCGCGCACCATGGCCACGGAGAAGTCGGAGGTGCCCTGGTCGACGCTCGCGAAAGCCTCGACCATGTAGGCGAGGGCGTGGGGGGGGAAGTCGTGGAGGCGGTGCACGCAGATCTGCGCCGCGGCCTCGAAGAAGCCCCGGCAGGCCGCGCCGGCCTCGTGGGAGGCGGCCCACACGATGGCCGAGATCTCCTGCGGCTTGTGCTCGGACAGCTTGCCCAGGGACGCGCCGAGAAGCGCTGGCACCAGCCCAGACTGCCTGCAGGCCCGAAGTCCTCATTTCCCCCTACACGACGAAGCGAAACAAGCCTAATTGGCGCCCGTGTGGCTGTCGCGTGAGACGTGCCGCCGAGTAAGTGTGAAACCAGAGGGACAAGCAGAGCGGAGGAGGACGAGGGCGTTGCGCGCGGGATCCCCATGACCCAAACGCCATTAATTGAAGGAGCTTGTCTTGAGAACTCACGTCATCCTGACCCCCAACGCGCGAAGGAATGGGCCCGCCAACCGCCCCCCCCCCCCTGTTCTGTGTCCGGGGAGACCGGGAAATTTGGGGAATCCGGCGACGGATTCCAAACTGGCGCCCTCGCGTGGGACATCGCCATGAAACCGGCTCCCCGAGCCTCCCCAAGGAGACCCTCAGAGGCCCCCGTGTTCCGTTTCCGGGACATCTGGCACATCCGGCGGCGAAGTCCGAAGCAGCGCCCTCGCGAGGGACATCCTCAGAACCCCCCCCCCCCCCCGAGCCTCTCCAAGGAGACCGCCAGACGCGCGCCAGGGCGCACCGGGCGTCCCAGTCCGCGGCCCCTGCTGGAGGCCAAAGCCAGGCCCCCTGGCGCGCGAGACAGTCAGAAGATAGGCAGTGTTGGTGTTCTCTACTTCATTCGGGCTGTAGGCAAGCTACGGAGCTGGGAAGCAGACTGTTCGAATGGGGATGATCACGGGCACTAGTCTTCAGTATCGAGACGAACTCGAGCTGTGGACCTCCTCCTTCTCCTCCCCCTCCCCCTCTCCTCTCCTCCTACTCCTCCTCTCCTCCTCCTCCTCCTCCTCCTCCTCTCCTCCTCCTCCTCCTCCTCCTCCTACCTCCTCCTCCTCCTCCTCCTCCTCCTCCTCTCCTCCTCCTCCTCTCTCCTCCCTCCTCCTCCTCTCCTCCTCCCCTCCCTCCTCCTCTCCTCCTCCTCCTCCTCCTCCTCCTCCCTCCTCCTCGCCCCACGGCGCCTCCAGCTGGACCCATTCCGGGGAGCTGCCAGCGCGCGCTGGGGCGCGCCGGGTCGCACCGGGCGTCTCCCACGCTGGGGCTCTCGCTCGAGACAGCCTCCCCGTGTCGACCCCCGGCGCGCAAGGAGGAGGAGGAGGAGGAGGAGGAGGAGGAGGAGGAGGAGGAGGAGGAGGAGGAGGAGGAGGAGGAGCGAGGAGGAGGAGAAGGAGGAGGCCCCACCGCGCCCTGCAGGGACCATTGTCCAGGGATCTGCTGGTGCGCGGAAGGGCAAACCGGGAATGTCCCAGTCTGGGGCTCCCGCTCGAGGCACCCTCGCAAGGTCGCCAGATCGCCCCTCAAGAAAGGCCCCCGAGGACGATGACGTAGAAGGACGGATTAGGGAAGGAGGGAGGAGGGAGGAGGGAGGAGGAAGCGGAGGAGGAGGAGGAGGCGGCGGAGAAGGAGGAGGAGGAACGAGGAGGAGGAGGAGGAGCAGGAAAGGGAGAGGAGAGAGGAGGAGGACGAGGAGGAGGAGGAGGCGGAGGAGGAGGAGGAGGCGGCGGCGGAGGAGGAAGAGGCGCTCGAGAGGAGAGGAGGAGGAGGAGAAGGAGGAGGAGGAGGAGGAGGAGGAGGAGGAGAGAGGAGGAGCGAGGAGGAGAGCGAGGAGGAGGAGGAGCAGGAGGAGGGAGGAGGAGGAGGAGGAGGAGGAGGAGGAGGAGGAGAAGAAGAGGAGGGGGGAGGAGCGGGAGGAGGGTGAGAGTTGGAGGAGGAAGGAGAGAGGAGGAGGAGGAGGAGGAAGAGGAGAAGGAGGGAGAAAGGAGGGGGAGGAGGAGGATGAGGAGATAAGGAGGAGGATGAGATGGGGAGGAGGAGGAGGAGAGGAGGAGGAAGAAGGAGGAGGAGGAGGAGGAAGAGAGGGAGGAGGAGGAGGAGGAGGAGGAGGCGGAGGAGGGAGGAGGATGAGAGTTGGAGGAGGAGAAGAGGGAGGAGGAGGAAGAGGAGGGAGAGGAGGATGATGATGAGGAGGATAAGGAGGAGGATGAGGATGGGAGAGGAGGGTGAGGAGGAGGAGGAGGAGGAGGAGGAGGAGGAGAGTTGGAGGAGGAAGAAGAGGAGGGAGAGGAGGAGGAGGAGGAGCAGGAGAGCTGGAGGAGGAGGTGGATGAGGAGGATGAGGAGGATGAGAAGGAGGAGGAGGAGGAGGAGGAGGAGGAGGAGGAGGAGGAGGAGGAGGGGGAGGAGGGCTCTGCTGGACTCTGCTGAGCGCCGAGGAGGAGGAGGAGGCGGAGGAGGGACGCCCTCCAGAAACCTCACGAGATTTTCTGGCCCTCACCGTCCTCCTGGCCCTCTGGCCCTCACCGTCCTCCTCCCCGCCCTCCTGAACCTCACCCTCCTGACCATCACCCTCCTGGTCCGCACCCTTCTGATCCTCATCCTCATGCTCCTCACTCTCCTGATTCTGTCTCTTCACCCTCACCCTCCTGCCTCACGATCCTGCTCATTACCCTCCTCATTTCCATTCACCTGATCCTCGCTCTTCTCGTGATCCTCACTCTGCCGATCCTCCCTCTCCTTTGCTGATCCTCCCTCTGCTGCTCCACACCCGGCCGATCCTCTCTCTTGATCTGCATTCTGGCCATCCTCGCTCTCCTGACCCTCCTGCTCCAGGCTCTCCTGATCCTCACCCTTGCAAGACTCGCCCTCCTGATCCTCTCCCTCCTCATCCTCCCCCGGTGCACCACCGCCTCCCGCTCACTCTCCTCCTCGTGCCCACAAGCACATGCACCCTCTCCTGTGTACAGAAGCTCCCGATCCACCGCAGAGCGGCCGGCCAAAATTGTGGATGCCACGTATCATCGAATTCAACATGTGTTTAACATGTCGGAAAATGTCCTGAAACATGTTTTGAAGTGTTTTTGAACTGCTTCAAAGATTTAACACGTTTTCTAGACATCTGGAAAATATTTGGCAACGCGCTTCCTCTCCATTGATCGTCCTCCTCAAGGCTAGTAGAAACCCTGCCTGCAGGCCCGAAGCTTCGAGTACGCCCACAGGATGTTTGCGGTGTTCTGCGGCGACATCTCCCTGCGCTTCTCGATCGCCACGGGCACCATGGCCCGGAAGAGAGGCTCGTGCGGCAGGCCCACGGTCGCGAACGCCCAGGCCGTATTCGACAGCTCCTGCGGCTTGAACGCCCAGAGCAGCTCGTCGCAGATGGCCATGTTCCCGAGCTCCGTGAACAGGGGCACCTCGGGAGGAACGAAGAGAGAGTCATCCTCAGCACGGCTGGCTTCTGCTCAGAATTCTGGTCAGAACGCACCCTGGCAGAGGCCCGGGGAGCAGCGGTATAACCATCTTCAACACGGCCGGACTCTTCCCTGAATTCTGGCCAGAACGCACCCTGGCAGGGGTCCCGGGAGCAGCGGCATCGGTAGGTCCGCGCGGACTGCTCGGATCGGCGCCGGTCCCCCTCCCGAGGCGGCGAAGGGGCCTGCCAGCGTTGATTCAAGAACTCCGCGCGGAGCTCCGAAAGTTTCGGTTCGTGCAGTCTCTCTCTCTCTCCCCCTCGGAGCCTCCATGGAGCGGTTCTTCGCGTAGGCCCAGAGGGTGTTGGCGATCTCCTGCGGCTTCGCCTCGGCCGCCTTGGAGAAGATCTCCACGGCCAGGTTCCCGAACATGGCGCCGTGCTTCTGCTTCGCGGTCGCGAAGGACCAGGCGATGATGGAGAGGCACTGCAGGCTGAACTCGCCGGGCGCGCGCTCGATCATGCGCTTGGCGACGTGGACAAAGAGCTGGGGCACCTTCCCCCGCGCCTCCCTCCGATCCCTCCTCCCCCTCCTTCCCCCTAACCTGTCCTGCCCCTCCTCGCTGTGCTCCCCTTCTCTCACCCTTCTCGTCTCGAGAAGGAAAGAAGACGGAGGATGGCGTTTGACTGGGAATCGTCGCATGCTGCGGCTTGATGTAATTATAAAAAGGCCAGGTTTGTACATGCGGGCCTAAACCCCAACCACCAAATCAGGCTAGTGTCTTCCGCACCTGACGCGGCCAGATGATGGAGGGGGAAACGAGGGAGGAGGGAGGAAGGAGGAAAAGGCAGGGAGGAGGCAGCCAGGAGCCCTCCCCCGCTCCTCCATGTGCAGCTTGGCGTACGCCCAGACCATGTTCGAGAGCTCGAAAGGCTTCAACTGCGAAAGCCGGGGCGCGGCGATGCCCGAGATGAGGGAGAGCAGCTGCTCCTCCGGCAGCCTGAGCGCCCCCTACACCTCCACCTCCTCCTTCTCCTCCTCCTCCTCCTCCTCCTCCTCCGCTTCCTTCTTCCTCCTCCTCCTCCTCCTCCTCCTCCTCCTCCTCCTCCTCCTCTTCCCACGAAGCGCTGTCCTGGGTGGCGTTGACGCATGCGGCCTGTGACACTGAAGCCTTCGGTGGAGCTCCCTATGGTGCCACGAAGCGCTGCCCTGAGTGGCGTTGACGCATGCGGCCTGTGCCACTGGAGCCTTCGGTGGAGCTCCCTATGGGGGGCCACGAAACGCTGTCCTGGGTGGCGTTGACGCATGCGGCCTGTGCCACTGAAGCCTTCGGTGGAGCTCCCTATGGGGCCACGAAACGCTGTCCTGGGTGGCGTTGGCGCATGCGGCCTGTGCCACTGGAGCCTTCGGTGGAGCTTCCTATGGGGCCACGGATCGCTGTCCTGGGTGGCGTTGACGCATGCGGCCTATGCCACTGGAGCCTTCGGTGGAGCTCCCTATGGGGCCACGACGCGCTGTCCTGGGTGGCGTTGCCGCATGCGGCCTGGGCCAGTGGAGCCTTCGGTGGAGCTCCATATGGGGCCACAAAACGATGTCCTGAGTGGCGTTGACGCATGCGGCATGTGCCACTGGAGCCTTCGGTGGAGCTCGCTATGGAGCCACGAAATGCTGTCCTGGGTGGCGTTGACGCATGCGGCCTATGCCACTGGAGCCTTCGGTGGAGCTCCCTATGGGGCCACGAAGCGCTATCCTTGGTGGCGTTGACGCATGCGGCCTGTGCCACTGGAGCCTTCGGTGGAGCTCCCTATAGGGGGCCACGACGCGCTGTCCTGGGTGGCGTTGCCGCATGCGGCCTGTGCCACTGGAGCCTTCGGTGGAGCTCCCTATGGAGCCACGGATCGCTGTCCTGGGTGGGTGAAACGCAGGGAGGTGACGAGGCGGATGGGAGGACGGAGGAGGGGGAGGAGGAGAGGAGAGTAGAGGAGAGGAAGAGGAGACGCGGGGCGCTGTCTCGCCAAAACGAAAACCCAACACAACAGGATGGTTGGGAAAAGACCAATCGCGGCCAAAGTCAACTCCAGGCCAGGACCGCCACAATCGCAACGCATCTCCAGCTCGTAGCGTCTGCGCCGCGACCTACGCGTGCTCCTCCTCCCCCGCCCTGGTCATTAATTTCCGCCTCGCCATCCTCCCCTCAAACTCCTCCCTTGTTTCTCCTCATCCTTTTCTGTCCTCCTCTCCTTTCCGTTTCCCTGTCCTCGCCGCCCGCGCCCGCCCCCGCCTCGCGCGTCCCCCCTATCCTGTCCGCTCCTTGCACCTCCTTCCTTCCCCCTCCTCGTGGCAAGTCTGATCTCCTCCCCTTTTCTCCTCCACCGCCCTCTCTGCCTCCGCCTACGCCCTCTCCTCCCCATCCTTCCCCCTCCTCCTACCCCTCCTCTCTCCTCCTCCTCCTCCTCTCCTCCTCCTCCTCCTCCTCCTCCTCCTCCTCCTCCTCCCCTCCCCCCCCCCTCCCTCTCCCTCTCCCCCTTCCTCCTCCTCCTCCTCCCTCCCCATCCTCCTACCTCCTCCTCCGCCTCATCCTCCTCCTCCTCCTCATCTCCTCCTCCGCCTCCTCCTCCTTCCTCTTCCTCCTCCTTCCTCCTCCTCCGCCCCCCCGCCTCCTCCTCCGCCTCCGCTTCCGCCCCCGCCTCCCGCCTTCGCCTCCGCCCGCCCTCCTCCTCCTCCGCCTCCGCCTCCGCCTCTCCCGCCTCCGCCTCCGCCTCCGGCTCTCCTCCTCCCTCTCTCCTCCTCTCCTCTCCTCCCTCATTCCTCCCCTCTCCTCCTTCCTCCTCCTCCTCCTCCTCCTCTACTCTCCCTCTCCTGCCTCCCCCTCCTCCTCCTCCTCCTCCTGCCTCCTCCTCCTCCTCTGCTCCTTCCTCCTCCTCCTCCTCCTCCTCCTCCTCCTCCTCTCTTCTTCCTCCTCCTCTCCCTTTTTTTTTCCTCTCCTCCTCTCCTCCTCCTCCCTCCTCCTCCTCCTCCCCACTCCGCTGCACTATACCCGTCTCTCTCCTCCTCATTCCTCCTCCTACTCCTCTCCTCCTCTCCTCCTCCTCCTCCTCCTCGCCCCCCCCACTTCTCCCTCCGCGCCCCCGCTTGCCCCCCTTGCTCCCTTGCGGCCTCTGGCTCCGTCAGGCCGTTCGAGCCCTGGCCCCTCGCGCCCAGGGCTGCAGCGGAAACCTCCGGAGCCTCCCCCCCGGGCCCCAGGGAAGCCCGGGCGTCCGCCAGGCGGCGCAGCCCCGGGGCCCCATGCAGCGCTTCTTGGGAGGGACGCCCGCGCCTTCCAAGAAAGGGGGTGCTTCTGAGAAGCCTCCCCCCAACCCTGACCTTCCAGAGTGCAAAGAAATAGCCCTCCAGACCTATGGACCTATCTGGGCTGCCTAAAACCTCAACTGGAATTAAGATATCGAGGTCCTGGTGCTATTTTTGAGCCCTCCTGGAAGGTCAGGGAAACCGCCACACTGAGTGTGAGGAGTGCTCAAAAATGCGCCGTCACGCGGACTTTGCCACTGTGGGGTCCCTTGTGGAGCTCACAGAGGGGGCCATGAAGCGTCCAAGAGGTGCGCCGATGTGGGGCGGCGCCGCCAAGCACCCTTTGCCAGTGCAGCTCCCTATAGGGCCACGCCTCATAGGATGGGCGTGCCGAAATGGGCATGCGGATGACAGCGGCAGGAGGGAGGAGGGGGGGGCGGGAGTGAGTAAGTGACGCGGGACCCAACAACATCGGATGGTTGAGAACACACTGGAGGAGGGACAGGGGAGGGCTTGCGGGGTAGGGCGAGGACGTCGGTCCTCCGTATCCTCCTCTTGTGGCAGCCTCAGCGTAGCGCAGGACCAGCAGACCATGCTCATGCACTGGACCTCGAAAGGGACCTGCGTCTGCCGACTCTCCAGCAGCAGGCGCGCGGAGCCCTCGATCTGCTGCTTGATGGTGCTGAAGAGCTGCTTGAAGTTGGGGTTCTCCAGCAACATCTCCGGAGAGTACCCACCTTCCGGGTGTTGCTAGGGGCGTTCCTGGCCCAATTGGTGCTCCCAAGATCTCCAAGGAGGCCCCCCCGGCCTCCAGGAGTAGCCCTCACGCGGCCCAGAGAGCCCCAAGGGCTCCGAAATGAAACAAAAGCTGGGGGCACCTTGGGCCAGGGACACCTACAGCAATCCCCGAACCATTACCAAACAAGGACGAAGCTAGGGCAGGGACAAAGTCGTACCGGGACAGATTGGAGGCCGCTGGGACCTGGCGGTGCTGGAGGATGCATCGGGGGCCGCAGCCGTTGCATATCGCCCTGGAGCGCCCAGAGATTATTCCGGCCCTTGGCCCAGCCAGAACACACCCATGCCTGTACCCTGCGTGGTCTGGACACCGAGGCGCGATCCCAAGTGTGCACGCTCCCGGATACGGCAGGTTCGTGTCGTGCCGACACCGCGGGGATCGTTCAACCTTGAAGAAGGATCGGCGGTTTCTGCCGTTCAACATCGATCGCCATCGGGGTCGCCGGTGGCGTCCAACGTTAAGCACCAGCGGCGGGGTCGCCACTGGTCGAGGCGACGCAAACCTGCCGTGCACGGTCTCGTGGTGGGTGCGCTCCGCGCGGGGCATCCGCGCAACGCCTCCCCGTGTCCGCGGGGCCGCCGGCGAGAGGCCCAGGCCGCGCTGCCGCGGATGCAGGCACGTGTCCCCGCGCGCGAGCCTTGGCCAGACACGGCCAGCTTGGTCACGCGATGCAGCGCCGTGACCAAGTTGATCGCGTTCATCTCGGTGATGTGGTAGTGGATCGTCTGCAGGAGCCTAGGAGCCAGCGAGGGGGGGGGGCCACCCTGACCCCCTCGAGGCATGGCAAAGAGTCGCGACCGGAAGTGCTTCCACATTCTCGGCCTCTGGGCCCCCCACCGGGCCTCGGGACCGTCAAAAAGCGACTCGGGATGAAACACCGGTCCCGGAAAATGGGTCCAGACCTCGGGGTGTCGACGTCATGAAAAAATCCTGACGTCGGGGGTCTGGGTTTGCAGGAGCCCATGAGCAGCGGAAGGAGGAGGGGCCCTGGCGAGAGCAGGTCCTGGACTCTGGGGGCCCCCCTGGGACCAGATCTCCCTCCTGAGCCGTTTCTGGGCGGTCCCTTGGCGCCAGCGGAGGGCCCCTAGAGCCCAAGTTGGCGGCGCGCACAAGCGGGTAGGTGGAGGGGGGAAGGCTTCTTAAAAGCAGGCTGCTGCTTAGAAGGCGCCGGCCTTACATCTACAGAAACGGCCCGCGCTTTTGTCAGAAGCAGGGGTGGCTCTAAGAAGCCTTTCCCCCTCCCCCACACCCCCCTCTGCGCGTGGCTGGCCGAGAACGGCGACAAACCTGCAGGAATCCTTTTCCTCCAGAGGCCCGTCTCGTCACCAAGACACCCAACAATGTGATTTTTGTCAACGCGCTGCCCCAAGAGGCCCCTGTCCCCTTTCCATCAGGGAGCACTAAACTGGGTAACGCCTAAACGGGAGAACAAATAGACCCACCATGGGATCCAGGTGGAAAAGCTGCAACGACCAGAACACAAACATGCACTACATGTTTCTGCAACGCAAAAAAAACAGTGCGACCCTACCTAGGAGTTGGAGCATTCAGGAAAGCAACATCTACATCTACACCGACAGCTACAGTTACATCTACACCTGCATATACATCTACATCAACATTAACAGCGAGGCTCACATCTACATCTACATATACACGTACATCTACACCTACAGATACATCTACATATACATCTACACCGACAGCCACATCTTCACCTACACCTACATCTGCATCTACAATGTCGCATTGGTTTTGTTTGTGCTTTGCATTGCCTTTGCTTTTGCTGCGCTATCTGATATGCTATGATTTGCTTTGATATGCTATGATATGCTACGATATGCTACGATATGCTATGCTATGCTTGGTTATGCTATGCTATGCTATGCTATGCTGTGCTAATGCTGCGCTGCGCTATGCTGCGCTGCGCTAAACTAAGCGAAGCTAAGGTCAGCTAAGCTATGCTAAACTATGCTAAGCTACGCTAGGCTAGGCTAAACAAGGCTAAGTTAAGCTAAGCTAAGATAAGCTGAGCTAAGCCAACCCAAGCCTAGCCAAGCTAAGCTAAGCTAAGCTATGCTAAGCTGCGCTAATATGAAATAAAATAAGCTGAGCTAAGCTCAGCTAAGCTAAGCTAGGCTAGGCAAAGCTAAGCTCAGTTAAGCTAAGCGAAGCTAAGATGAGATAAGCTAAGCTAAGCTAAGCTACGCTAAGCTAAGCTAGGCTAAGGCGGATCCTGGGGGAACCGCCCGGGGCGATATCCACTGCCCCGCCCCTTGTAAGCTAGAGGGTAGGAACCCTTTTCAGGCAGAGCCTAGGTAGGGAAACATGCATTGCAATTTGTTGGCAACTAGTTGCGGCAAAATTGCGAACAAGCCCCACAGACCGGGTAACATAGGGCCCAGAACGAAAAGTTGCAGTGCAGCAGCCGGAAATTTGCAACATGTGAAAGGTGCTTCATCGAACGGGACAACCAATTAGCCTGGCGAAAGACCCAACCATATGCAGTTGTGAATACCGCAATTGTGCTGGGTGGTGGCGGACGCATGCGGGCGGTGCCACTGGGACTTTCGGTAGAGTCCCCTCGATGGGGCCACGAAACGCTGTACTGGGTGGGTGAAACGCAAGGAGCAAGGGCTGTGCTGGGTGGTGGCGGACGCATGCGGGCGGTGCCACTGGGACCTTCGGTGGAACCACCTATGGGGCCACGAAACGCTGTACTGGGTGGGTGAAACGCAGGGAACAAGGGCTGTGCTGGGTGGTGGCGGACGCATGCGGGCGGTGTCACTGGGACCCTCGGTGGAGCCCCCTATGGGGCCACGAGCTGTACTGGGTGGGTGAAACAAACGAAGGGAGAAATGGCTGTACTGGGTGGTGGCGAACGCATGCGGGCGGTGCCACTGGGACCTTCGGTGGAGCTCCCTATGGGGCCACGAAACGCTGTATTAGGTGGGTGAAGCGCAGGGAGCAAGCTGTGCTGGGTGGTGGCGGACGCATGCGGGCGGTGCCACTGGGACCTTCGGTGGGCAAGGGCCGTGTTGGGTGGTGGCGGACGCATGCGGGCGGTGCCACTGGGACCTTCGGTGGAGCCCCCTTATGGGGCCACGAAACGCTGTACTGGGTGGGTGAAGCGAAGGGAGCAAGGGCCGTGTTGGGTGGTGGCGGACGCATGCGGGCGGTGCCACTGGGACCTTCGGTGGAGCCCCCTATGGGGCACGAAACCTTGTAATGTGTGGGCGAAGCGCAGGGAGCAAGGGCTGTGCTGGGTGGTGGCGGACGCATGTGGAGCTCCCTATGGGGACACGAAACGCTGTATTGGGTGGGTGAAACGCAGGGAACAAGGGCTGTGCTGGGTGGTGGCGGACGCATGCGGGCGGTGCCACTGGGACCTTCGGTGGAGCCCCCTATGGGGCCACGAGCTGTACTGGGTGGGTGAAACGCAGGGAGCGAGCTCCGTGTTGGGTGGTGGCGGGTGCATGCGGGCAGTGCCACTGGGACCTTCCCTGAAGCTCCCCATGGGGCCACGAAGCGCTGCACTTGGTGGGTGTAACACAGGGAGCAACGGCTGTGCTGGGTGGTGGCGGACGCATGCGGGCGGTCCCACTGGGGGCTTCGGTGGAGCTCCCTATGGGGCCACGAAGCGCTGTGCTAGGTGGGTGAAACGCATGGAAGAAGGAGGAGGGAGGGGTGGAGAGGGAGGAGGGGGTTGGAGGAGGAGAGCAGGAACGCGGGGACCGTCTCTTCAAAACGAGGACCCAACACCACAGGATGGTTGGGACAAAAACACTGCACTGCAACAAAAGAGCCATATGTGATGCCTCGAACCGGCCGTTTCCTGTTACCCCGTGTGCTGTTACCCCGTCTCTGGCTCCCTGATTCCAGTGCGATATTTCTCCGTCCGGGATCCATGTTTCATTGTCCCGGCGCCCGATAATTGGCCCCACTTGGATGACAGCGGGGGATGCTCAGGGGGTGGGGGATGATGGGGAGGTTCGAAGTAAATGTTAAGCTGGGTTGTATCTGGCCTAACCTAACTTCTTTAAGGAACTTGTCTTGAAAACTCACGTCGTCCTGACCCCCAGCGCAAGAAAGAATGGGCCCGCCAACCGCCCCGCCATGTTCCGTTTCCAAGAAATCCGGGAAATCCGCCGACGTATTCCAAACCAACGCCCTTGCGTGGGACACCCTCTAAAATCCCGCCCCATGAGCCTCCCCGAAGAGGCCTCAGAAGTCCCTTTGTTCCGTTCCTGGGCAACCCAAGAAATCAAACTACGAATTCCAAACAGGCGCCCTTGCGTGGGAAATCCTCAGACAACCGGGCCCCGGAGCCTCCCCAAGGAGGTCCTCAGGCGCGCGCCAGGGCGCACGGGCCGTGTCCCAGTCTGGGCCCCTCGCTCGAGACATCCTCCCAGAGTCTACCCCCCGGCGCGCGAGGAGGCCAGGCCCCCCAGGGGACCATCTCCGAGGATCTGCCGGCGCGCGCCAGGGCGCGCCAGGGCGCACCGGGCGTGTCCCCGTCCAGGGTTCTCGCTCGAGACAGCCTTGCGAAATTCGACCCCCAGCGCGCAAGGAAGTCAGGCCTCACAGCGCCCCCGGGGAGCATCTCTGGGGGTCTGCCATCGCGCGCGGGGGCGCGGTCTCCCAGTCCAGGGCTCTCGCTCGAGCCAGCCTTGCAAAAATCGACCCGAGCGTGTTCCAATCTGCGGCTCCCGCTCGAGACACTCTCGCAGAGTCGCCAAATCAACCCCCGAGGGAAGCCCCCGAGGACGATGACGAGGATGAGCAGGAAGGAAGACGAAGGAGGACGGAGGAGGGGAGGAGGGAGGAGAGGAGGAGGAAGAGGAGGAGAAGGGGGAGGAGGCGGATGAGGAGGAGGAGGAGCAGGAGGAAGAGGAGGATGATGATGAGGAGGAGGAGGAGGAGGTGGAGGTGGAGGTGGAGGAGGAAGAGGAGGACCCGCGGCACCACCGCCTCCCGCTCATTCTCTTCTCGCCCACAAGCACACGCCCCTCGTTCTATCTACAGAAACTCTCGATCCACCGCAGAGTGGCTCGCTAGTAAGCGGGCTGCAAATGCCCAAGCTGGTTTAGGGGTGATGCAGGTCTGGTCAACGTGAGCTGAGCCCACTTCGCGGAGTGACCTTACCACCCCAAACTACTTGAGGCACGTTTAGCCCGCGTATAGGCTAGGTGAGGCCAGATATGGCCCACATTCCCTGAGATCCGACGATACAAAAATTACCCTGGCGACGTACCCAACCCCTGCGCAAAAGCGGGGCGCAAATAGTTTAGGATACTTTATAAGGGGGCGATGACGGAGCGAGGGTTACATATGTCTGCAGACGGAATTCGGGAGACTCGCAGGACACTGGCTACAGGAAAAGGGCTTGATAAAGCTGATGATTTACAATTCCTGAGCACTCCTAGCCACTTCGAAAACGGGGATCACAGCAGGCCTCGAAAGTGGCGACAGGTTCACAGATCGCAGCCCCGCAGGGATGGCGAGGTCTCATTTGAATCTGCCCGTGGCCCTCACTGTGCTGGGCCCCCCAGCAGGCCTCGAAAATGGCGGCAGTTTCGCAGATCGCAGCCCCCCAGGGATGGCGAGGTCTAATTTGAATCCGCGCGTGGCCCTCACTGTGCTGGGCCCCCCAGCAGGCCTCGAAAGTGGCGACAGTTTCACAGATCGCAGCCCCCCAGGGAGGGCGAGGTCTAATTTGGATCTGCCGCGATTACCCTCTATGCTGGACCCCCCAGCAGGCCTCGAAAGTGGCGACAGTTTCACAGATCGCAGCCCCCCCCCCCCAGGGATGGCGAGGTCTAATTTGAATCTGCCGCGATTACCCTCTATGCTGAGCCCCCCAGCAGGCCTCGAAAGTGGCGACAGTTTCACAGATCGCAGCCCCCCAGGAATGGCGAGGTCTAATTTGGATCTGCCGCGATTACCCTCTATGCTGGACCCCCCAGCAGGCCTCGAAACTGGCGATAGTTTCACAGCCCCCCGCAGGCAAGACAGAAAGAGGCAGGAAAGAGGCGGGAGGCGGGAGGAGGAAGGACGCGACCACACTGCTCTATTCAAAACGAATACCCAACCAAGGAGGGTTGGGAAAAATACAACTGCGCAACAAGACACCACTGGACCCACGGACCCCATCTTTCTGCGTCATTTTTCGAGCTGGATATGTGAGGGTCCCAGGGCCCGAACTTGAGAGCGAAAGCGTCCAGCTCGAAAAAGTTGAGTCGTCAGGATCTTAGGGCCATCGTCCACTCCTGACCTGCCCACCCCCCGCAACAGCCCCAGCGGTGACCTCAGCAGCGGCCGACAGCCCGAAAAAAGACAGACGGATCTGGGTCAGGGCCACGTAACCCCGGACACGATAGACCCGGACATCCAACATCCTTCGAAACCATTTTTCCAGACGGCGGCACGAACAAAAAACTGCACGGCAACATTTCCATAATAAACCTGGTCACAGGCCCTGAAAGCCTGCAAGACCCCCTTAACCCAGACACGGACCCGAATTATGCAGTGCAGCAAGCACAACATGCACGGGTGCTGGAACATGTGACTTTGCAGGAAAAGGGTGTCGTTTCCTCGGTTGTCCGTGTCCTGGTTGCTCTGTGTCCTGGTCTCCGGGGGCCTGGCTGGGGGTAAAACGCGCATCGCCGGAGACCCGAGCTTCTCCCTCACAGCGAGGAGCCCCTCCATGCTCCCGGAGTTCGCCGTCACCTGCCGGCGGGATCGGCCAGCACTGGCACTATACGGGAGACCGGACCGATGCCGGAGCCTGCGTTGCATCGGGCGCCGCAGCGGTACGGAGCCGGCATCGACTTGGAGGTCGGCCGCGCCAGGAGGCAAATCGGCGCCATGCATGCATCTCGGGCCGCACCGGATCGTCGGAGCATCGGAACCACATCCGATCGAGCCGACCGAGGTCTACATCTGGAAGAAGAACGAACCAACATAAACATACCCTTTCGGCGCTCCCTGGCGCGGAGGCAAGAAATCCGCGCGGAGGGCCAAACATGTACGTTTTTGTGGCTTTTTCGGCAGTGGACAGAACTCCCTTTAGTAAACCTCCCTTTAGTGAAAACGGCCTCGGACCGAAATCGACGGACCTGGACCCGCACAAGTGACGGCCGCGACGCCCTCTCGCGAACCGAAAACGGCCAATTCCTTAATCGACGTGTCAGGGCAGGAGGTCCGAACATCGAAGCGGACCGATCGCATCGAAGTGGGGTCCCGCCTGCCGGTTGATCCACTTGTTCCGCCGCAGCTTGGAGGTGGCCCACCTGTCGCCCCGGCTGCCCTCCGGGGCACGGCCGCCGGCGGCGCCCCCGTGCGGCGCCCTGGGGCGGGAGTTCGGCCGGGCCTGCCCCCCTCCAGGCGGAGTTTGGACGAAAAACTAAAAATAGCCAAGAATACCCCACAATGCCCGAAACTAGAAAGGAAATCGTCCCCACATGTGTTTTTTGACTAGTTTGGAATGCTCCTCTTGTGGAGGGACAGGCCCGACTCAAGGCTGGAGCAGAACCGGGTCCCCTCTTGGCGGCGCGCAGAGCGGGTCTGCCCCCCGTCCCCTCGCGTCGTGAAGGCGCTTCTCTATGGCTATTCGGCCTTCAAGGGCATCCCCTCTCGTCGTGAAGGCTTCTATCTGTAGTCCTTCGGCTTTCGAGGGCCCTCGTCGGGCCCTGGGACCGTCAGAAGACGACTGGGGATGAGATCAAGTCCCTGGGAATGGGTCGAGACCTCTGGGTGTCCCTGTCGTGAAAAACCATAGCGTCGGGGGTCCGGGGAGGGGGGGCTTCGAAGAAGGCGAGGCACTTCTTAGAGTGCGGGGGCCTTCCGAGAGGAGGCCTGCGTCTCGTGCATGAAGGACCTTCTTTGAGAAGCTGGGGTGGCCTCTACTCGGTCACCTGCGTTCTCGGTGCCCTCCCAGGCTTCTTCGAAGGCCGCCCTCACGCCACACCACATTGCGCGCCGCCAAACCACCCTCGCCTCCGACGACGCAGTCTGTTAGTGACACGGTCCCTGGGGGTCTCGACCACTTCCTTCTCCAGGACTGGCTTTCCGTCCCGAGCCGTTTTTTTTCTCTGACGGCCCTGGGGACGGGAAGCGGCCTTCGGAGGACGCAGACGCGGCAAAAACGGGCATCGCGTGTTTTTCTTGCGTCGCCTCGACCTGTGAGACTGAAGGGAGGGGGCTAGCTCAGGGGAGAAGACAGCGACCTGGAATCGGCGACACATCGCGACAGATCGACGATAGGCCCCCGATAGCAAATCCTCCCGTTCCTGGGCGGGGTGGGCTATCGGGCCTTCTTTGGCGATGCATGGGCGATGGGGAGCCGATGCTTTCCCCACTGCGCCCATCCCCACCCCACCCCCCCAGCGTTGCCCCTAACTAGGGAGCCCACAAAGGACCTACGCGCCCAAGCATGTGCATTAACACGGCCCCTCAATCCGCGAGACTGGCCGCCTGATACGGACATTCACGCAACGCGCACTCTCGAAACCAACGTGGATTCTCCTGACCTTCTTTCGCGTACGTGTACGTCCGTGTACGTGTACGTGTACGTCCTACGTACGTGTACGTGTACGTCCTTCTTTCGCTCCTGACCGACTGGATCTGAGGGAACAGGGTCGGAGGATCGTACCGCATCGCCGACGCACTGGCGACGTTCGAGCGGGAGAGAACGAGCGAGAGAATCGGCGCTCCGCCCAGGTGCGGGCCGCACCTCTGCAGGCCAAGGGCTGGCGCAGCCGGCAACCACCAGAGCGCGCGGCAAGGCACAGGACCGGTCGAGACCAGCGAGCCCAGAGGCGCATGCTGACCTCCGAGGTTCTGAGATCTCGATCCTGGCGTTCTGCCTCGCCGTCGGTAGCCGGGTCCCGCCATCGGGCCCCCGGGGCTTCTAGACATGGACCCGGGAGGCAAACTGCCCCCCCGGGGAGGAGAGGGTCGGGAGCTCTGCCGTGGATCGGACAAGCATGTCGGGACGTGTCTGTCCAGGTGCGTACACTCGGGATGGACGAGGAGGAGGCGGGGGACGAGGAGGAGAAGGAGGAGGAGGAGGAGGAGGAGGAGTACGAGGAGGAGGAGGAGGAGGAGGAGGAGGAGGAGGAGGAGGAGGAGGATGGGGACGAGGAGGAGAAGGAAGAGGAGGAGGAGGAGGCGGCGGAGGAGGAGGAGGAGGAGGAGGAGGACGAGGAGGAACCCAGACCTCCGACGTTTTGGTTTTTCACGGCGTGGACCCCCGAGGTCACAGGACCTTTTCCCTGCAGGTGCTGGCTCGTCAGCCTGAGTCGCTTGTTGATGGTACCGAGGCCTGGTGAGGGCCCCCGTACAGGGCAGTTTTTGATACATGGGATGTTACAAAAAAGGATTTCTAATACATGATAAATATATGAATGAATGTATACATGAACTCATCGTTGTTTTTAATACTAAATCCCTGCATTCGTAATACATGATCCGCACGCGGAGCATGTATTAAAAAATCCTGTATTCAAAACTGCACTGTAGGCGCAGAACTGTCAGAAGCCATCGCCTCGTCGCGACGAGGCAAACGGGGGGGAGAAGGGAGGCCGGGCAGGCGGCATCGCCGAGGGTGCGGCGCGGCCCCGCGTCCCTGCGGCCCCAGACGTCTTCCGCGCCGGCCGCCGAGGACAGCTCTGACCCCCCAGAGAGGTCCTCCGATGTGGCGTTTCCATCCGCGGCTCGAAGAACAGTTTGCGTCCAGGAACACTGTCTCGAGTGTCCTGGGGCCCGATGGCGGGTCCCAGGGGCCAAAATCGAGGAATATTGCCGCGACTGCAAACAAACATATCGTCGGAGATCTGGGGCCACTGGTTCAACCGCGGGGGTTTCAAAGGGGATCAGGGGGCTCAGAAGCGGATGCTAAGGGGGTTCTCTGCGGCCCAGCCAAGCATAAAAGTGGGAAACGTGTGCCCAAAGTAGTCGAGGGTGATAACATGACTCCGCTTGGTGGGTCCCGCCCGCTTAGACCAGATCTGCCCTCCCCTGGACCACTCAGACCACTTGCAATCCCTAGGCTCGGTCAGATCTACGGTCGGGAACGTTTGCCCAGCGTGTCGCGGCGGCGGCCTCGGCGACACGCTATCTCCTGCGAGCGGATAGAGCGTCGCTCCGCTCAGCGGGACGGGAAGCTCGGAAAAGCTCGGCACGTGGACGCCTCAGGAACGCGACGTGGGTAGCGTGCTGCACCGAGGCGCGGTGGGCCAGAGCCGCACGCGGTCCAAAAGATCCCGACCGTATCCTTCCAGCAACCCCAGCAGCCCTCTCAGCGTGGCCCTGCTTCGGGAGTCAGCCGCGACTGCAGACAAACAGATGGCGGGCTGGACGCCGTGAATCTGGACATCTTGACATCTTGCCGCCTTGGGGGGCGCACGTTTTCCGTCCGCCGCCTCCCGCCGGCCTCCCGCCGGCTGTGCCGCCTCCGTGCCACTTCCGCCGCCTTCCGCCGAGGAAGAGATGACAACCCCTCCGATCCTCGCAGGCGAGGCCCTCTCTGGAACATGCCCCATCTCGTCGGAGAGCCGAAACGCCCCGTCTCGCCCGCTCTGCCCGTGGCCCCCTGGATCGGGAGCCGGCCTCTGGGGCGAGTGAGCGGTGGCGGGCCTCCTCGGAAGGCGGCGGGGGCTCCTTCGAGGCCCTCCCGCGAGAAGCTTCCTGAGCCTTCTCTCGAGACGGGGGCGGCTTCTCAGAAGGCCAGGGGGCCTCTGAGGAGCCCCGCCGCCCGCTGAGAAGGCCTGCCCGCTCTCGCGTCTCCCCGGCTCCTCGCCGCCGAACATCGTCGGAGACTCGGACCCCCGACGTCATGACTTTTCCCGGCGTCGACCCCCAGAGGTCTGGACCCCTCCCCCGGGACGGGTTCTTCGTCCTGAGCCGCTCTTGCACGGTACCGAGGCCCGGCAGAGGGGCCCCCAGAGGCCGAACCTGTGGAGAAACCTCCCGTCGTGATCCTCCTCCTCCTCCTCCTCCTCCTCCTCCTCCTCCTCCTCCTCCTCCTCCTCCTCCCTACCTCTGGTAGTGGTGGTGGAAAGCAGGCCAAATCGTGGTTCGCGACATCGGCCTGGCTCTGCACATGGCGCCGCCGCCGCCCCAGCCCTCGTCGCCACCGGCCGCTGCGTTCCGCGGGCCGGTCGGCGCCATATTACATCCAAGAGAGGGAGAGGCTCGGGCGTCGCCGGGGAGGTGCCCCCTGGCCCCAGCGGGACGCGGGAGGAAGTGCTGGCAACCGGGATATAGGTCTTGAGCACTCCCCCTTCCAATGCTGGGCGAATACTCTTTTCCATAGAATGGGACGCATAGAGACATACTAATACTATATGTCCTCCTTGGAGGCGCGCGTCCGACTCGAACATATAGTATACCCACCTTGTAGTACATCGTTTCTCGAGCGGTGTGACCAGAAAGCGCCCGCCACGGCGCATATGCTATAAGATCCCTCGGTGCGCGCATCGCCCCTGGGGGGGGGGGGCACGACGCACACATAGTACTCGCGTGCTGGGGTGGCGCCGACAGGAGCTCCGCGCGCCAGGGAGGGGGCCCGGCGCGGATCCGAGAAGGCCGCGCGGAGCGCCCCGCGTGGCCCGAGCGACGTGGCCAGAGAGCGGCCCGCCACGGGAGCTTCTGCCACGGATTGTTCTGCGCGCGCGCCGCTCCCGCGGGGCCGACGCGCACACACACAGTGCGCTCAGAGTATCGGTGTATGTATATCTATACATCCAGACATAGCTGTATAGATGTGTAAATTTGTATACCCATACATATATATATATATTACTATATATATATATATATATATGTATATATATATACATATATGATTGTACACTGATATAGCTGTGTGGATGTGTGTAGATGTAGACCTATACATACATATATATATATATATATATGTGTATATATATATATATATATTATCATACGCACCTCTCCGAGGGAGTAGAGCTCAGAGGCGATTAATGCGCACGCGTCCGCGATTTTTCTGGGCGTTTCGCTCGGGACATCCTCGAAATTCTGAAAATCGGTGGCACCCCTCACGCAGATCGCGACGTCAGGGTCCAAAAACACATGGGAAATTCAACATTTTAACATAAAACCTTCAAAAACACATTGTAATTTCAATAATTGTGACCCCGATTCTCAGTGAATAGCGGTTTCGCTTGAAAAATCCTTCCAAAATCGAGCCCCAGACCCCGCCTCGGAGCCTCCTGGGGGGCTTCCTGGAACCTCCTGGGGCCTCCTGGGCCTTCTGAACCTTCTGGCACCCCAGACCCCGCCTCGGAGCCTCCTGGGGGTGTCCTGAAACCTCCTGGGGCCTCCTGGGGCCTCCTGCGGCCTCCTGGAGCCTCTTGGGGCCTCCTGAAGCCTCCTGGGGTCTCCTGGGGCCTCCTGAGGCCGCCTGGGGCCTCCTGGGGCCTCCTGGGGCTTCAGAACTACATGCACACAGAGACACAAATCACGCCCAACACATCACACGCTAGACAAACATAACACACACACACACAACACCTACAACACACAAAAAGCACGCACCACACGAAGCATACATCACAAACACACACACACACACACGCACACACACACACACACACACACGCACAACACTCACAATCCTGGGGCCTCCTGGAGCCTCTTCTGGTATCCAAGTCGGGCCTCCTAAGGCTTCCTGGGGGCCCTGGTACACACATCGCAAGGTGTGGCAACCCCACTTGCGCTCGAGTGCGACTTCGATGTTGCAGTTCACTCCTGTTTCAAACGCCCCTTCAGTTTTTTTGTATGAGCCTGGGCACACACGTGCCACTTGTATATAAAAACATGTACACTGAGATACGTATACTTGGCTCAAACAAAAGTTTCCTTGGAAACTCGCAACAGAAAATAGATGTGTGTGTACGCCCATCGGCGAGATGAGTTGTCGCGCGCGTGCGCTGAGCGCTGGCGCGCGCGAGATCCCAAGAAACCCTCATGGCTGCACAATGGTTCCAGGAGGGCCTGTGGCCAAAGGCGGTAACGTCCAGCCGACCCTTGGGTGACGCCACCCCAACACGATCCCGCCATGGATTCTGGACCGTCGCAGGCCGACCCGAAAATGACCAAACAATGGTGCCACGAGTGACGCCGAGATGGCCCGATGGCAACAAAATGGATCCACGCGCGCCCAGGGTGGCCCCAGAATGGACACGCGACGGCTGCGCGACCCAAGCATGACCGAGATATGATCTCAAGATGACCTCAAGACGCCCCTGACGCACCAAGAACGCTACAACTTCGGGGCCCAAGCTTACTTCGAGCCGATCCTAGCATGGCGGGATCCGTGAACGACCCGGGATATTTGTTTAAACCAATTTTGCTGGGGGGGGGATTTTAGCCTGGCTGAACTAAAATTCTAATACTAAAGGGAAATAAGTTTTGGCGGGATCCCGCCCGGCCCACGGCAGAAGACTACATTGCTAGGCTTCTACGGGGGGGAGGGGGGCTCGGACGGGCGTCATTCACTCCCGCCGGCTTCCGCGAGCGAGCGATGTGACGAAAATCCAAGGAACTTTCATTGGGCCGATGTATATAATGTCTGTTTGGGTAGTGCCGGCCCAACCCTGAGAGCCGACGGCGTCAAAACAACATGTGGGCGACGATTAAAAACGGGTCTCACGCGAGGCGGCACAGCGACCTTACGCGGCGGCTTACGCGGCCCGCCCTCCCAGCGCGCCGCAATTGAAGCGTCGAGGGCGCTTACGCGTGACCTTAGGCGGGCAGCTCACGCGCAAGTGTCGGCGCAGACGACCCCGTTTTTTTCTGCAACGCTCGTGCGCGTCACGAAAAATCGCAACGGTCGGAGGATCGCGCCTCATCGCCGATGTCTGGGCGATGCGTCGGTGATGAATCGGCGATGCATCGGCGATGCTAGAAGAAGAAGAAGAAGAAGACGGGAAAAGACTGCATAAACATCAACTTTCGCTGGTCCGCTCGGAGATGCGGCGCGATCCTCCGACCTGACTTGCTTGGACCCCGTTTGGGCAGGCCTGGGCAGAAGGCCCGGGTGGCCTACAGGCCAGGCCGAGGGGGCCCACGCTGAGGGCAGGCCACTCCAGGGGCCGAGGCGGGGATTTTCATTAATGACCACCGCCTGGGGGATCGATCCTCGCGGACCTCCACAGGCGGTGGACATGGATATATGGATATGTGTAGATATGGATATATATATATATATATATGTATATGTATATATACATATATACTTACTAGAACCATCGCGCGCGCTTCGCGCGCACTCAGGTTCTAGCCCAGGCCGGGGGGGCGCTGGACGATCTTGGACAACGCTATCAAGCACAATCGCGCGACGGCATCTGAGGAGCTTCTGGGGTGTTCCGCATGCTTCGTCAACTGGCTGTTGGAGGCACCTCTTGGGTGCCTCTTGGGGGGGCGTCTGAGGGTCCCTTGAGGGCATCGGTTCTGCAATCTGAAGCCGTCATTGGCCGTATTGGCTGCGTGGAGGCCCGACTTGAGGCCACCTGCGGCCAGATTGAGGCAATCGGGAAGCCTCCCGGGGGCCTTCTGGAAGCAGTTTTGATGCATTTGGGGCACTCTTGGGCTATTTTAATAAAACCTCTTGGACGTCTCCCAGGGGCCTTTTGGGCCCTCGGGGAGCTTTTGGGGTCCTCGTCGGACCACTTTGGGGCCTCTTGCAGCCTCCTGTGGGCCTTGTGGGGGGACCGCTCTGCTGTTGGGTCGCGTTCCCCTTCTCCTCTCTTGGGGCTCTTGGGGCCCTCTCGGGCCGTCTTGGGCGCCTCAAGCACCGTCTTGGGGCCCTCGCGGGCCGTCTTGGGGCCCTCTTGGAGGCCTCTTCCTCTATGTGGGAGCGGTATTGGAAGCCTTTGGGCCGTCTTGGAGCATCGGGATGCCAAAAGGCAGAAAAAAAACAACGTCAAAGCCCAACCGTAAAACAATGAGTTGTGCCTCTTGGGGCCACCCTGGGAGATCTCTTGGAGCCTTGTCGGCCCTCTTTGGAGCTTCTTGGGGGCCTCTTGGATCTGATTGGTGGCCTCCTGGGACTTCCCGAGAACCTCTCGGGGTAGAAAGCTCGGATTCTCGGTTCATGTTTCCCTTCTTGGGCCTCTCTTGGGGCCGTCTTGGGGCCCTCTCGGGCCGTCTTGGGCGCCTCAGGCACCGCCTTGGGGCCCTCGTGGGCCGCCCAGGGCCCTCTTGGAAGCCTCTTCGGCTATCTTGGAGCTGTCTGGGAGGCCTCTTCCTCCTCCTCGTCCCCCTCCTCCTCCCACTCCAGCTCTCTCTCTTCTCCTGATCTTCCTCCTCCTGCAGCGTGTTCCGGAAGGCTCCCGCCGGAACATGCTGTGCACAAGTGCTGTCACTGCTCCCGCCACCGTGCGGTGGGTGGTGGGTCAGAGGCCTCATGGGTGTTGGTTTGGATCTCGTGGTTGGCCTGTCGGGGACGTCGTGAAGGCAGTTTCGCAGCTTCTCGGTAGCCGTTTTGGGACCGTTGTGGGGCCTCCTCGGGGCTGTTTTGTGGCCTCTTTAGGCCTCGTTTGGGCCTCCTGGGTGCCTCTTGGGGGGCCTCCTGGGGCCTCTTGGGGGCTCCTTGGGGCCTCCTGGGGCACTCTTCAAGCGGGAGGGTCGAATTTTGGAGTCGTGGTCCCCCTCTTGGGCGCATCTTGGGGCCGTCTTGGGGCTCTGTTGGGCTGTCTTGGGCGACTCTGGGGCCGTCTTGGGGCCCTCTTGGGCCGTCTTGGGGCGCTCTTGGGGGCCTATTGAGCCGTCTTGGAACGTCGGACAGCCGAAAAGGCTGGAAGGCCAAAATCGTTCGAAAACCTTCGTAAATTGACGATTTCGGCCTCTGGAAGCGCTCTGGAGAGGCGTCTTGAAGCGTCGTGGAGTGCCTTGGGGGGCCTCTCGGGCCGTCTTGGGCCATCTTGGGCGTCCTGGAGCGGTCTTTCGGCGACTCGGGGCCCGCTTGGGCCATCTTGGGAGCCTCTGGAGGCCCTCCTGGACTATTTTGGACCTCCCCGGCCGCCCCTCCTCCCATGGGGGGTCGGAGGCGGCGCCCTCCGAGGCCCAGGACGCGGAAACCCTTTTAAAAACACAGGGAAAATGAGCCCCAGTACCCCCATGGAGGCTTTTCGGCGCTCTTGGACCGATGGGAGCTCGAAAACGCGAG